ATATTCGTAATGAGCACCCCCAAATACCTCGAAAATGTTACTCATATTGCATTTATTTGAAAAGTCGTGTTCGCCATCTTGGACTTACAAATAAATGCTATATTCGTAATGAGCACCCCCAAATACCTCAAAAGCGATACCCACCCTGCCATTATTTAAAAAATATAAATACCTTATTTTAAATTTTACAAAGAAAACATTCAAATTTACGCTATATTAAGTTTTACAAATTATTTTATCGAATGAATTTTTATTAAGTTCAATTTATTATTAATTGCTAACAGAAATTAGAATAAACTAAAACATATTAATTAGTACTGCAGTCTTATGTCTGTTTGGGATTTTTCATTAGAGGAAATACTGGATCCCAAACTGGTGGTGCGGAGAAACCATCTTCCCTGTTGAAATTAGGATGTTTTTTAATTTCAATGGCCTCTCGCAGCATTCTGAGTAGATAACGGACTTCTTTTGCAAGGACCTGGGGTTTGTCAAACTTCATTGAATGTGTAGGTTTATCCATGACATGCTCGCAGACTGCAGACTTGTTTACGCGACGGTGTTTGACATCAGCTATATGTTCTTTGACGCGGGTACAAATACTTCGCTTTGTTTGTCCAATATAAGAGAGATCGCACTCACAGTCAAGCTTGTAAACTCCTGCATCCTGTAAGTGGATGTTACATTTCACGGGTCTCAGGAACTGAGAAATCTTCCTCAGGGGCTTGAAATAGGTCTTGATAGATGCGCGCCTGAGGACTCTTCCGATCTTGTCTGTGAAACCTCTCACGTAAGGTAAGATGGCAGGTCTTCGCTCGACTGTTGGTGGTTTCACACGGGGCCTGCGGCATTGGCGAGGAATCTTCAACTTATTCGCATGTAGGACTTGCTTTATATGTTAAAGTTCCGCTGCCAGATGATTGATTACTGTCGCAGACACCAACCATGTGCTCTCTGAAACAAAGATTTGCCCACGGTAGCTAACTGGCTAGGATGGTGATGAGAATTACCATTGAGATACCTATCTGTATGGGTTTTCTTTCGAAATACAGTATGGCCTAAGGTGTTATTAGGATTTCTTTTAATTAAAACATCTAAGAAAGCTAAAGTACCACAATTCTCTTGTTCCATAGTAAATTGGATTTTAGTACTAAAAGAATTAAAATGGTCCAAGAAAGAAGGTATGCTATCTTTAGGTAATATTGTGAAAGTATCATCAACGTACCGTTTGAAAATCTTCGGCCTAGCTGGGGCCATGGGTAAAACTCGCTCCTCGAAGTCTTCCATGAAAATATCGGCAACAACGGGAGATACCGGGGAGCCCATTGCTATACCGTCAATTTGTAGGTAGAATTCATTATTGCACAACAGATAGACTAATGTTAGGCAGTGTTCTTTTTTTTTTGTTGTTACGACTTGACTATTCCATGACTGAAAGTCTTCTTACCGTTCCCAGTTAAATCTTGGTAGCGCGTTCTCTCGCGTGCGTTCACACACACATACTCACACACGTATACACACATATACCCATACATCTACATCACACACTTGGCTTCATAATTTTTGATTTGTTACATTTGTTTGTGTACCATTTAAGTATATGCCATAATTTTCACTTCGTGTGTAGTTGAGCCAGTAATTTTATATTTATAATCTAACAAAACCCTTTTGCCTTTTTTTCTCAATCACTTTTATTTTGATTATATTCTGGTTGGAATGTTCTGTTGGGTGAGTGCCTGGTGATCTGTAATACAGGTCTAGTAACCTAGTACGGACTCCAGTCTCTCACAAAGGCCGATTATGTAATTGTTAGTTATAATGTTTAAGTTATACCTTTGTGTTTTTTGAGAAAATAAATCATATATATTGTTGTTTTTATTGTTGTTCTAATAATTCTGCATATTCAATGGACATATTATGTTCCCTCAGCTTTCTACGTACAATTTCAATGCAGTCTTTTACTGGTAGGTTGGTAAACAGCGACTGAACATCAAAACTGACCATGGTGTCATTTGGATTATATTTGGATTATATTTGGTGAAATATGGATTCTTGATAATTTTGACATAAATTCAACAATTGATAGTGACATTTTATACAAAACAGTGACATTTTATACAAAACAGTGACATTTGTGAGTGCGTAATTATATTGTAGTGTAAACTGACATCACCGTAACAGGAGCGGTAAGAACGAATAGACGTTCATTGCATATCGTCACGACATAAGTGGCTGTACATTTACAAGATTTAATCTGCATTTTATTAATATGAATATATTACAGTGCAAAATTGACATCGCCGTAACAACAACGGTTTAATCTGCATTTTATTGACGTTATCGTTGACAGTATACACCCAGTGCAACAATGGAAGAACTTCTTGCTCGTCAAAAGAAGATAATAGAATCTATCACGACGATTCACAGGAATTTTAATAAGGATTCGTCCTCGAGAAAGACGGAAGATTACCTACAAAAAAGGGTAATCGCTCTTGAAAGTTTATGGGCAGAATTTGACAGCAACAATTGTCAACTTTCTTGCTCTGAATATGAAAAAAAAAACACATGATTACTATGTAAAGAATATCTACAATGACACAAAAAATCTTTATGACACAATACGCAACCTGCTTATGAACTACTTTCCCAACATGGAAAGAGCAGGTGTGAAGCTAGCAGCAGACGAGCTGAAGAGTGAGCAGAAGTCCAATTTTCGTGCATTACTACGCCAAATAAATAATATTGACATCGACAAAATAACAGAAAAATGGGAACTGGAGGATGAATTGAAAAGTTTGCAATCACGGTGGGAGAATATTGACAAATTGCATTTCAAAATTGCCAGCGTATCAAGCGATGGAGATAATAAGTATGAAGAAGAATATTCTGCTTTTGAGAAGAATTACAGGGACATGAAACGGCTTTTAAATAAGAAAATTTTATCAACTGTGCATCAATTTGAATCTACGTCAAAATCAGAAGTTCCACCGTTCCATGGGGACTATACACAATGGCCTACGTTCCTGGACCTGTATAAAAGCAGTATACATGACAACCCTTCCTTGACAAACGCACAGAAAATGCAGCATTTGAAGGGAAAGTTGAGAGGCGAAGCACAACGTCTCATTCAGCATTTAAATATATCGGCAGATAAATATATAACAGTAATTGAATATTATTATACCATCGCTATAATAATATTCAATTACTATTTACGAAACACACAGGAGTATTTCTTAACCAACGCAACGTCGACAAACAATCATCATCTGAGCTTAAGCGCCTGCATGACACTACCGTGGAGTGTATCCATGCTATCCACAATTTGGGCGTGGATACTGCTTCATGGGATCCCCTTATTGTTCATCTCTTGCTGAAGAAATTTGATCGTGTAACGAGAAGTGAATACAACGAGTCGCGGAAGGCGCCCCGTGATCTTCCCGAATTGGAGGAATTTACTTCATTTTTAGAAACCAAATTTATAGCACTTGAGCCCATACAGAAAAAAGAAAGAGATGACTGGTTGTCGCCGAAGCTAACAACGCCACATAACGCGAAAAAAAACTGATATACAATGGCAATAGATCGTCATATTATATGAGGGCTATGAATACAACTACAGCCAAGCCACGCTGTATTTTATGCAACTGCAATGATCATATGTTATATCAATGCCATAAATTTGAAAATTTAGCTTCTGACGCTAAACTGCAAGTAATAACTAAAAATCAAATATGTAAAAATTCGTTCGTCGTCGCGTAAACAAGTCTGCAGTCTGCGAGCATGTCATGGATAAACCTACACATTCAATGAAGTTTGACAAACCCCAGGTCCTTGCAAAAGAAGTCCGTTATCTACCCAGGATGCTGCGAGAGGCCATTGAAATTAAAAACACCCTAATTTCAACAGGGAAGATGGTTTCTCCGTACCACCAGTTTGGGATCCAGTATTTCCTCTAATGAAAAATCCCAAACAGACATAGACTGCAGTACTAATTAATATGTTTTAGTTTATTCTAATTTCTATTAATAATTCATAATAAATTAAATTTAATAAAAATTCATTCAATAAAATAATTTGTAAAACTTAATGTAGCGTAAATTGGAATGTTTTCTTTGTAAAATTAAAAAGAAGGTATTTAATTAATAACTATTGTAACTATAGTGAAAAAATAGGGTGGTTTGCATTAATATTAGACATAACTGGTTGAAGACTGTACCACCTGAGTCAACCGTGACCATGGGACCTGTAAAGGGCCCGAAACGTCGGTTTGTTTGAAAAAACAAATATACGCGATTTAAATCCGGAAAAATAGTTTCATTTCCTATGTGTAACAATCGCGAAAACCTAACAACTCGATATGTAAAAATTGTTTATACTTCCACGAGCGGAATGTATGCCGATCAAATAAGCGGTGCAAAACGTGCAATGGATTGCACAATACCTTGCTGCATGATGCGACGCATGACATAAAAACGAACGGATGGACTTCGCCATCAAAACCTCAACATCAGCACATGGCAAACAACGTGAAAAATAAAAATGACGAAATTTTATTAGCTACCGTGCAGATTCAAGTACGTGCTATAAACAATCTAATATTTCTTTCTAATCTAATCCTTGACTTTGACTTTGACTTTGACAATACATACATAAAATTGAGAGCACTTTAAGATCAGGGTTCACAAGCCACCCTTATAACTGAAAATGTCGCTCAGCGCCTTGGCCTACCCCGTCAACATGTGAACACAGCAGTATTAGGAGTGGGTGATTCGGCGAAAAAAGGCGAAGGAAAAATACAACTGCACTGCATGTCCATTAATGACAATTATAATTTTACTGCGGAAGCAATGATATTGACAAAACTTATAAACAATTTACCTCATTCAACATTTAAGAAGAATTATCATCATAACGAACATATACAGCTCGCCAATCCTAGCTATAACGTTACAAAACAAGTTGACATTTTGCTAGGTGCAAACATTTACTCCCGAATAATAATGAGCGGGTTGATTAAAGGATCTGAAAATCAACCAATCGCTCAACAGACAAAATTAGGGTGGATTTTGTCTGGACCAGTACAGTCACCGCTTCAATGCAGCGTGGAGATCAATAACATTGAAGATATCTCTGCATATTGGGAGGTGGGAGAAATAGCGATTGCCTCTATCGCAATGACCAGAGAAGAGCAGTTTTGCGAAGAATTATACGTCAAGATCACAAGGCGTCTACCAGATGGAAGATACGAAGTCCGTCTGCCCTTAAAAAATAGTTTTGAAAATGAGCTCGGCCAATCTAAAGCCTGGGCAGCAGCACAATTTAAACAGTTGGAATCACGTCTAATGAGAAATCCACATCTGCGTGACAGCTATCAAAAATTTATGCACGAATACGCAGATTTAGGGCACATGATAGAATGCAAGGAGCGCAAAGAGCATATGTGTTACTTGCCACATCATGGTGTATATCGAGAGGAGTCTACCACTACTAAACTTTGTGCAGTTTTTAATGCATCCTCGCCAACATCTAAGGGAAAAAGCCTCAATGATCTCATGGAGTGTGGCCCGAAACTACAGAAAGACATACAAGATCTTTTACTTAGATGGCGTATTTACCAATACATATACACTGCAGACTGTGAAAAAATGTATAGGTGTATACTTCTACAAGAAGATCAGCAACATTTGCAAAAAATCTTATGGAGAGATAATCTTGTGGATATGGACAGGCTGAAAGAATATCAATTATGTACAATTACATATGGCATGAAAGCTGTGCCGTTCTTAGCTATGCGCACTATGCAAGAATTAGCATGTGATGACAAAGAGAAATACCCATTGGCTGCTGAAGTGTTGCAATGCTAGTTTTATGTCGACGATTTGCTCGGAGGGAACCGCTCTCTCTCGGATGCAAAAGAAGTTCAACAACAATTAATAAAAATGTTCCAAGGTGCGGAAATAAACCCGACAACAATGGGTTTTAAAAATGCAAACTCAACAAAGGCGTTCGGGTTACAATGGAGCCCCGCCACTGACATGTTTACTTTCCGTCCAATTGACAATAACAAAACAAAGACAACCAAGCGAACACTTTTATCACAAATCTCCAAAATATTTTACCCATTGGGGTGGCTATCTCCACTCTCAATAAGAGCCAAATTATTATTCCAAAAACTTTGGTTAGTGACAATGGAGTGGGATGATAAAGTTCCATATGACATTTTGAAAAAATGAAACAAACTCAGTGACGATTTGCAGAACGTTGACAAATTTCAAATCCCAAGATGGGTTGGTAATATTCACGCATCAATAGAGATACACGAATTCTGTGATGCGTCAGAACAAGCTTACGCAGCAGTGATTTAAATAAAAATCACAAATGACATGAACGAATCAATTGTTAGAATATTCTGCTCTAAAAGAAAACTTGCACCACGGAAGAATACTTTGACATTACCACGATTAGAACTGTGTGGCGCTCTCCTGTTATCAAAACTAATGTAGAAAATTTTGAAAGCGTTTCCACACACTGACATTCCAATATACGGAGGGACGGATTCCGTAGTCGTACTAGGTTGGCTTCAAGGAAAGCCGTCTCGTTAGAAGGCGTTTGTTGCTAACCGTACAATAGAAATCCTTGACATTATGCCAGTTTCGTGCTGGCAACATGTGAGCTCAAAATGACAATGCAGCTGATTCCGCAACTCGAGGCCGCTCTGATGGAAAGGACCTGCGTGGACCAAGAAACCAATTTTCAAAAATGACGTCGACGACGTACGATTGACATGCCTCAGATTGAGATGAAAAACGATAATATGCACGACAACGGTCGAAACTTCTGACATTATTGAAGAGTTATTACATAAACATCACTCGATTATGCATATAGTAAGAGTGATTGCCCGAATCTCACGTTTCATAAACATTGTGCGTCACCGCGTGTCGTCGCGACTACAATTGTCAAGACCGCAACATGACACCGAGGACATTAGCCGCGATGCACCTGACAATACGAATTACCTAACAGCGAGTGAAATAAATAATACAATACAATACAATACAATACAGTACAGTACAGTACAGTACAGTACAGTACAGTACAGTACAGTACAGTACAGTACAGTACAGTACAGTACAGTA